GTATTCTTATTTCAATCTCTATCTAAAAACCAATCCTTTCTTCTTTTCTTTGTTTAAAATCTCAATCAGGCCCTGTTTTCTATCAGGTTTTTGAGTTAAAACTCGAGATCTGAGCAATGGCAGCAAATTCATCAAATGGGGAACAACAATCACCCTCAAAGCCACCACCTTTGCCATCTCCATTGCGCTTTTCTAAGTTTTTCCAGGTCTTTTTTTTTTTTTTTGTTTATTTAGTACTAAAATGGTGGTATCAGTTGAGTTTATTTTATGCAGTTTTCTCTTTCATTGTGCTAATTGACAGTGAGTGATTGTGATGTTTTCCGCATCTGAGTAGTTGCTTTCTTGTGTGAATTGTAATATATTCAAAAGAGTTGTTGCGCTTACCCTTTGATTACGGTTTAAGAAAAATGGTATAATTTGAGCAATACTGCCGGAGGTCTTTCACGGAAGCTATTCTCAACCTGGCGTTGGGGGCAGCCTACTACCCTACCTCCCCCTTACCCCATACATATGGGAATTGGGTTTTGTTGTTGTTGTTGTTGTGGTATAATTTGAGCAATCTAAAGTGGGGCCGACAATGTTTACTACTATGGTCCCTCAGCTAATGAACTATATATCATACATGAACAGTTGGTGAATGTACACTTAGCTCCATGGATCCCTCTTGACTTGCACTATAAAGTATACTAATTTGATCCAATGTGTTTAACTGTTCATAAATTCTCATTTTATAGTGAATCTGTGCACTGCTGGATAAACCTCCTCTTCACATTCAAGAAGATTGTCCGAGAAACGTGTGGCAGGCCATATTCCAAAACTGACTCATTTTCCCTTGATTTCTTCACATTCAATTTTCTGTCTTTTCAAAATAAATGCAATGAGATTACTGAGAGTACTATAAAAATAATAATTCTTCAAAAGCAATTCATTCAGATCTAGAGAGAATCATTCTTAAGATAAGTTCAATAGTTCATGATGAATCCCAGTATAGTTGTCCTTCCTGAACAGGTAGCTCCTGGATGATAGATCCTTCATTATGGATAAATATCTAATTACTTTCTTGATCTTTGTCCTTGATCTAATTACATTTTATATAAAGTTTTTTTTTATCAGTTTCGTTACATTTTATCTTCATCTACATTCCATTTATACAACTAACACTGTCCTTTTACCGTTTACTACAGTCCAACATGAGGATTTTGGTTACTGGAGGAGCTGGTTTTATTGGTTCTCACTTGGTGGACAAGTTGATGGAAAACGAGAAAAATGAGGTTGGTAGATTTTTCTTATCTTATCCAAGCTTTGTTTCCTCCTTTAGAAATGATAAGCAGCACCGATACTAGCATTGGATCCATGCACTACGGTTATTATGTTCTGTACCGTTATTTATGTTTACCTTATCCTTAGGTGATTGTTGTTGATAACTACTTCACTGGATCAAAGGACAATCTTAGAAAGTGGATTGGTCATCCTAGATTTGAGCTTATTCGTCATGGTAAGTTCATAATGTTTCAGGGTCTCTTGATTTAAAAACATGTCATTTTCGTAAGGTCTAATATTGTGGTGAATCATAATGGGTCAGAATGGGTAAAATTTAGTGTAGTTTCTACATAGAAACCATGTTGGCTGTTGTTGTATCTTGCTTTCCACATTCTCACTGAATTTGGAGTAAAGACCGTTCAGATGATAGTATTACTACATTAGGGAAACAAATCTTGAGAATTTGGCATTTATAAATTCTGAATCATCATTTAGTTGGCATCTGCTGCAAAGTATTGCAAAACAAAGTGGTTCAAAGAGAAATGGGCAGTGAGTGCAAAAGTTCTGTATTTAATGAAAATATGTTATAGTATTTCTTCCAAAACCATTCTGATGTCAAAATTCAAAATGATTGCATTTTGCTACATTGGTCAAAATGGATTTTTTTCTTTTCTTTTCTAGTAATTGAATAGGCTTCACTTCTTTTCTTTGCAGATGTTACTGAGCCATTGTTGGTTGAGGTTGATCAAATTTACCACCTTGCATGCCCGGCTTCTCCAATTTTCTACAAATACAACCCTGTGAAGGTGGGTGTTTTTGTTTCTGATTTCTTTTTAAAATATTTCTGACCAGATCATTAACTTTTACTCTGTTTTCCCATAGACAATAAAGACAAATGTTATTGGCACACTGAACATGTTGGGGCTTGCAAAGCGAGTAGGAGCAAGGTAAGGGATTGTAGTTGTCTATCAATTTATTCAAGTTCCCCTCTCCACTGGCTCTAATCAATCGGTATTTTGGGTAACAGGATCTTGCTTACATCAACATCAGAGGTGTATGGAGATCCTCTTAGCCACCCTCAACCTGAAACATATTGGGGCAACGTTAACCCAATCGGTAAGTCTATTGAGGAAACATATATGCATTGGTCGATCCTATTGACAGTTAGTATTGAATGAAATGTTTGTAGTCCTGGAAGACAATACTTTCTCGCATTATAATGTTATATTTCTTTTCAAATCTGTCAAAATTCTAATGGGGAATTGAACCTAGGAATTGCGATGAACATCAAAGACATATTGGCAGAATGTATAATTTTATACAACATTATTCTGGCACTTAATGCTTCTTTCTTGTAGGGGTTCGGAGTTGCTATGATGAAGGGAAGCGTGTGGCTGAAACCCTAATGTTTGATTATCATAGGCAGCATGGGATAGGTAAATTTTCTTGGTTTTGCCTGAGTAATGGTATCCTGATATTTTTATTAATTCTTAACATTGTTATTGTATCCTTTTCCATAGAGATCCGCATTGCTAGAATCTTCAACACATATGGGCCACGTATGAACATCGATGATGGGCGTGTTGTCAGCAATTTCATTGCTCAAGCACTTCGGTAAATATCATGCTATATCATGGTTACCATATTACCTGCCCCTTTTTATTCTCAAGTTTGTTGTCAACTATATTCCAATTTACTTATCAGTTACTGACTTAATCAAAGAACAACTAGTTGTTGTGCCTAAATTTTTATTACCTTTTAGCCATTTAGAAAACTTTCTTTCCTGCTAGATTTTCCCATGAGCTAGTTTGTCTCTTATTTCACCTCTCTTTTGCACTTTGTAGTGGTGAAGCACTGACAGTTCAGAAACCCGGGACACAAACTCGCAGTTTTTGTTATGTCTCCGACATGGTATGCTACTTATTATGAATTTTAATGTTTTTACTAGCTTTAGTTCCTTGTGATGGTATCCCTCTATTTTAGTAAATTTAAGTATAAAATTTGTATAAACGGCTAGGTTGATGGCCTTATTCGTCTCATGGAGGGGGAGAACACTGGTCCAATCAATATCGGGAACCCAGGTTATTGCATGACTTTTATGTTATAAGCAATGTTTGTCTAGGATTTATCTTAGCTCTCAGGCTTATGGCCGTTGTCATGCACTTACTCCTTTATATGATTTATGTACTCTTTTAGGTGAATTTACCATGCTCGAGCTTGCTGAGACAGTAAAGGAGGTGAGTTTCATAGTTTCATTTCAGATGTTTTGAATATTGAACTATGAAAAAGTGAGGGTTCAAAGTTGTGGAGATTTACAGGAATGGGGGATGCGAAGTGGTACATTTTTCAGGTTTTTTAGTGTTCTGAAAGCTTTTGAAACTTATCTAGTTTCTGTATCGTGTTGCATTGTTGCCAGCTTATTAATCCGAAGGTGGAGATAAATATGGTGGAGAACACTCCAGACGATCCACGACAAAGAAAACCCGACATCACAAAAGCAAAAGAGTTGCTAGGTTGGGAGCCGAAAGTGAAGTTGCGTGATGGTCTTCCTCTAATGGAGGAGGATTTCCGATTGAGGCTAGGAGTCTCCAAAGAGAACAAACCATGAATGAATTATACAGCGGATGAGAAATTTTCGATTGGCTGATTTCAGTGCGTGTGGTGGGAAAACTCGGAGCTTATGTTATCTGTGATGTTGAGTTTATGCTCTCCGTTTACTGTGTCTTGTTCTTTATGGTTTCATAGAAAATAAACCAAAATTTCACACGGAATGTGAGAATTTGTGAAACTATTTGAATTTTGGTATGGCTTATAGGTGGTGGTGTTGCCGTGAATTTTGTTGTTTACAAGCAATAAAAAAAAAATCGATGACTATTATTGTGTTATTATTTTCTTGACCAACCATTTAGCTGCACCTTAATTTATATGTTTAGTCAATTTCTTTGCGACAATCCAAATCTTGTATCAACATCACTGCAAAAACAGGTCAGCTGGTGCTTTCGAACGTGGTTTGTGAATGGTTGCAATGTCGTACTTGATTTGGAAGGGAAAAAGATGGTATGATTTCCTTTAGGAGGAATAGTTTCGTCTCTCACACTCTTCCCTCTTCCCTCTAATGTACTAGAATTTTTTTTAAAAAAATAGATTTTATTGTGTTGCTAATATAATTAAAAGAAAAAAAAATGATAGTGTCAAGATATTCCCAATTAATATTGAAGAATCTTAATTCATTCTTAGAAAAAAAATATTGAAAGTAAAATTTTCATTCAAATTGAGTTCAAGCACAAGTACAAAATATTCAATTTTTATCTACTTACTAAATGAACTTAAATGAAGAAAAAAAATGAGTAGTTCCATCCGAATATAACTCAAGCGAAACCAAAAGCTTCAATTCGAATCAGATTCAAGCGTTTTGGGTTCAAATTGTTTACACCCAAATCTAGACCTCCAACGCCAGCCAGGTAGGGAAATGACGGGGAAGTAGAAAACTTAAAACACAAAAGACAAATGGAAGGTTGAGAGGCCTCCTTCTATAGGACCATATCTCATTGAAGCTCTACTTCAAAAAACCAATTCGCCAGTAGGCCTCCTAACTGATATTCTATGCATTGCTGAGTCATTATTGGGAAGCTTGCATTGTTTCCATAGGCACTCCTAACAGCTACCTGTGTACAAGTTACTAGTACTACTCAACCATTATTTAGTTCATAAACTAAGATTCGGCAAACAATGGCGTAAAATGTCAAGTTTCAATTTTAATGATCAAATAACCAGAATCAAGGGCATCAACCACTAACAATAACTGTAAAGATGTTTTTAACATTTATTCAAAGCAAAATCATTAATTGTTGACCAAAAAAATAATTCACAACTAGAGCGTACTCAGAATTTGATGTCTTCTGTTATTTTTATAGTTCATTGGAAAAGATAAAAGAACCACGCCTCTCATAACAAGGGATTGCAACCATATAGGCTTTGTCAAATCAGTGGATCACCTGCATAAACAAAGAAAACAAGGAGACGTTAATCACAACTTCAGATAATCTGTTATAAGAACATAGTAATGTTCAGAACTGCCAAAGCTAAAAGTAATTAAGAATCTAATCCCTGAAATAACAAATTTACCAATAAAACTTCCTAAATTTTAAAGCATACAATTTAGTCCCAGGATAAGAAAAACGAATCAACTGCCTTACGATTGTATCCTGATACTTGTAAATTTCAACCGACTACTGATAATAGGTGTCCGCTCAGATCAAATTTCATTTCATTTTTGCTATATTTTGTTTCTCTCTGATAATTTTTGATACTCTTCTCGTTTCAGCATTCAAACAGACTAAAATGTCATGCCAGCATGCCTAACTCAGTATAGACACAAATACCGCAGGTCAATTCAAGTGAATTCTTAAAAATGTTTTTTTTTTGGCATGGCAGATTGGTTCAGACAATGACAAAATGGGAAATTTGCTTCAAATGTATACTCATTAAAGAATGTTCAATCTTAAAGCACCACAAACCATGAAAGACTCCAATTTTTCAATGCTCCATTTATCAAAATTTAACATAACCCGCATACCTCTTCAATTTTGAAACATAACTTAAATTGAATAGACACTAGGAAGGAAAATTGTAGCGATTAACCTTAAAAAATAAGAAAATCTTATCTCCTGTAGTTTAAACACGATTCTCAGATCTGTCTCCATATATAAAACAAAAATTGCAAATCTCTAAAATTTATGTGAAGGAGCCAAGCTGTCTTTTAATCCTTGATTCAATCCAATTCACAAAAAGCGAACATAAGAAATCATAAATTAGGGTTTCTTTACCTCTTGTGTTTCTGAGCGAATGGAGAGTTCTTCTCATCTTCCTCTGCAAAAAGGAGGGACAACAATTAGTAAAAATGTCGATCGGTATATTTGCATATACGCTGACACATGAAAATACGAAGATTACAAATTGAAAGTTTAATATATATATATATGTTACCGGTGAGACCAAGGGAGAACTTGGTGATGATGGTTCCGGTAACGGCGAAACCAACAAGGAAGGGCCAAGTGCGGTTGAACTCTCTCTTGAAGAACACGGGCCATGGATCGAACCACCTTTTCATCTTCCTTTTGCTTTTTGTTTCTCTCTTCTTTTCTTCCGAGTCTTTGCTGTTTACTTCGGTAGCTGTAATCAAGGGCTCAAGGTTAAGAAGCAGATCGATTTTTGTGGAGGAAATTGAATTTTGGTTTCATTGTGGCCGTTGGATCATCAGATGGTTTTGTTGAGATCGGGTCTATAGAAGGGGTTTGGGGTTCAGTGTTTGACGGGCTTAGTCACACTGGATTGAGTCTGTCTCGTTAGTAGGCCCATTAATTCAACCTTAAATAGAATCCGATTTTAGTATGATATTGTTATAAACTATGCGTAAACTACGGACATAGTCATTCGATTAGTAATGTTTTTCTCTTTTCATCACTTGATTTATAAATTAATTATTCAATTTATCATTTCTGCTTTTGTGATCACTAGACAGTAAATGAAATGGCATGGAAACTTCTGAAATAGTATAATAATAAAAGGTATAATATCAAAAATAAAATGTTTCTAAAGTTTGATTAAATAGTTATTTTAATTTTTTTAGCATTTTGACCCTAAATATTTTAATTTAGTACAAAAAGATATTTATTTTGGAGTGTTGTGTAATTATTGAATAATAATTTTCACTCACAGAGGAGTCTTTTTGTCTCAAAATGAAATATTGGTGATCAAAATATTTCAAAAAATAATAAGAAATAAAAAAATTATTTAATAAAATATAGAGACATTTTTAATATTATGTCATAACAAAATTAGCCATCAATGTTTATGTATTATTTTAATATAAATCTAATTTTTTAAATAGAATATTAATCATTAACGTTTTAGTATTTCGTCAACATAACACTAAAAATAGTCGATTGAAATACAAAGCACTTATCTCTCGCCTTTCTAAATCTCTCATTTTGCTTTTCATTTTTTTCTATTAGTTTTATTTGAATTCTTTAAATTTCTTCATACGTTGTAAGAATGTTCTTTCCTCTTTTGCATAGAATTTTAATTTTTGTTTTTGTTTTTTTTTTTTTTTCTCTTTCTTTTTATCTCTCCTTATTTTTTTTTTGTTTTCTCTTCGTGAAAGTATATGAATACTCAGATAGGGAAGTTGATCATCTGACTATTAAAACCGATAGTTTATAACTAAAAAACGATTGATATAATTACAACCATTAAAGCTCACTTCTAGAGGTAAAAAGAAACTCATAAAGTGCCAGACCTTTTTGTGTAATTTTAAATAGGTTTAATACACATTTTAGTGTTTAAACATACTCAGGGCAGAGCTTGGTGAGGGTCTAAAGGATCTCAGCCTCTGTTAAAATTTGTATATACGATATAATTTTAGTATAATATTATTTTGGTTAATGTAAAAATAAATATTTAAATTAAAAAATATAAGAATTTATTAAATATTTAATCAAGTAGATACCTAATCAAAGAATGATAACCCCGTATTCTCAAAAATTTTGATCTAATAACAATTTAGGTCATTGAAAGTTGATATATTATACAAATTAAGTGTTGCTTTGTGAATTTTGAGTTTTTTTATATATAAATATAGGGTGAATATAAGGTAATACATGTACAGTGCTCGAACTCGAGACCTTAAGGATGAAAATAATCCCTTAATCACTAAAGTTACTTAGCTCGTACTGAATTTTGAGTTTAAATATATAATAAGTCTTTATATTTTAGTCTAATATTTCGGCCCCTGTAAATATTTAATTTTGGCTCCGTCCCTGAATATACTTCAAAATACAATTTCGTGCCTAAAGATATTTTTCCTAAAAGTAAGTGCTTAATATTTTTTTGTTATATTTTTAGATCTATACCGTTATATATTTTTAATTTTTAATTTTTTAATAATATAAATATCATTTAAAAAAATAAAAAATAAAAAAAAATCAAACCACCCCTCCTGTGTTGTCACTCTCCTTACCATCTCCCCACCTCTGACGGCTAATGATCACCATTGGTTGGGTTTTGTTCGGAGTAAGACTAGGAACTTAATGGTGGCGACCGTATGACATACAGATGGTTGTAGCCTTTGAAATCGTCGAAAAACAGCAATGAAAAACTTAGAAATTCGGAGACGCTTCATGGCATTTTTCACAATGATCGGCGCAATTTCACGATGGGTGGATTTTTGTCGCAACAGCGCAACAATTCTAATGGTGTCAATGATGACGGCCACGGATCGACAATAGTCGATTGACGGAGGAAGATGTAAAATTTGAGAGTTTTAGGTTTTTTTAATTATAATATTAAGTTTTTTTATATAAAATTATTTTTAAAACTTTGTATGCGTGACACGTTTCAGATAACGACCAAATTTAACAACTATTAATTCAGACACCTAAAAATGTAACGTTAGAAACGTTGGGCACCTATTTTTAGTGAAAAAATCATTAAACACCAAATCCTATTTTGAGGTATAATTTAGGCACTAAAAAGTGTATTAAACCTTTTAAATAAGGCATAGGCCTTTCAAATATTATTAGTAGCATATTCATAAATAAAAAAATTAGTATAGTCACATATATTAATAATATAATTTTTTGTATGGGATGAACACAAATAAAATTTTAGGGTGGATACAATCAATAAAATAAATAAATAACTAAAGAAAATTCGAATTTTAGGATGATCACATACCTACCCTCAACTCAATGTGAATCTGTCACTGTATATCATTAGTTGAATAAAACATCCTTTTATTTGTCTTTAATAAAAAAAATTATAAAAATAAGGAACACAGTCAAGATCCATAGTAAAAATACATTCTCGGATATTATATTTTAAGAGGGTTTGAGCTTAAGAGATTTCTTTTAGTGTTTTCATGTGATTTTCATATAGCAATATTGTAGTTTTATAAATTATAATCAAATTATTAATGTCAGAAACATTTTTATGGTATTTGATTAGTGAAAGAAACGAGTAAGTCTTGCAAGTACAAGAAGAACGAAAAAACTAGGAACTCAATTAGAAATTACTTAGATTCGTTAAGTATAGATCAGATACAATCACGAGGACACACACAATCTTAAAGATTCTTGACCTAGGGGAAAATTCTTGATTTTTTGATATGTCTAACATGTGAATCCAATTCTTTATGAGGGTTGAAATTCAATTTTTGTCTTGTTGTCTTATTGTTGAAAATTGTCATGACATTTTGATTGTGATAATTTATTGAACTATATTTTGATATAACAATTAAGGCAAAATGTTTTTGGACTTGAATTGAATTTATTCAAAGTTTTTTAAAGTTTTAAAAAATAATTCAAAGTCCATTTAAAAGTGGAATTGAGCACAAAATGATTTTTTGGACAAACAGAACTTATATTGTTCTTACAGTATCGATACCTCATAACAGTACCGATATTATTCATATGGTATCGATACCAAAGGTAAGGGAAATATCGATACTCACTAGGTAGTCTGCTACCCAAAGGGGTACCGATACTACTCTACATAGTAGTATCTGTACCATAGGCATAGTATCGATACCATCAGGCCCTAACGGCTAGTTAATGTAAATATAACAAAGGTAATATTGATACTCCCTTTAGGAGTATCGAAACCCTCTGTTTTGGACAACTTTATTTTGCACGAAAATTGATCCCCAACAGCTCCAAAACACTCCAAACGGCTAGAAACGGCCACAACAACATTCCAACATATAAATACAAGTTGAGGACACTTGAAGAGGGTTAGAAACACCTTTCCAAGCAATCAAACATAAAAGAAGAGTTTTTCATTCTTATTTTTATTTCTCTTGTAAATATTGTGTTTGTGTGAGCTAAATTCTTGTAAACACTCTACATTTGAAAGGTTTATTTATTTACTTCTTTTTACCTTTTGTAAAAGAGTTTTGGTTCTATCTTAGCCAATTCAAATGATAGAGAGTTGTAAAAGTTATCTATGTATTCCTGAAAAATAAAGAACAAATTAGTGAATTTGTTAGAAAATCCTTAGCGAGGAGCTAAGGAAATGGATGTAGACTTGGTTGCTAAGTAGAACCACTATAAATTCTTGTGCCAAAATTTTCTATATTTTGCTCTCCTTACTCCCTAATCAAATTATTGTCAATTTACCCCTAGTACATTTTTCGGTTGTTCAATTGAGCCTCTTCAAATCCTAACATAATTTGTTGAGTTAATCGATTGACGGAATCGGCCAAGAGGGGGTGAATTGGCAATTAAAAATTTGGTGAAAGCTTTTGCAGAAAATTGAAAGTAATTGCACAGCGATTTAGAGTGGTTCGACTTTCTCAACCAAAGTCCACTACCTTAGCTATCCACACTAAGGATTTTCCAACAAATTCACTAATTTGTTCTTTCTTTTGAGGACAAAGAGTAACCTTACAACTCCCTCAAGAATTATACCCCAATTCTTGAGCACAATCTCTCCCAAAGAGAAATACACAAATTTCGCAAACTTACAAGAAAACCTTACAAGGTAAGATGTTTGCACAATTCTAGAACAAGAAAAGAACACTAAAAAATGGTTACAAATGAGCACAATGTGTGTTCTTGAAAGCAAAATGAATATTGAAGGAAAATTGACTTGAATTGCACAAACTTGGTGTTTGATGCTTTCTCTCTTGTTTCTCAATGATTTCTTGTTGATCAATGGCTTTAGAATTTGTTTAAATACACATTGGGATGATTCTAACCGTTGGTAACCATTTGGATGAAGTTAGAGCCATTGTAGTGTGAAAAACCACTTAAATTTGTCTGCTGGGAGCTGGGGGTATCAGTACCCCTTCATGCGGTATCAGTACCTGCAGTGTAAAATTCAAATATTTCGACCGTTATATGTCTGAGGGTATCGGTACCTCCTAAGGGGGTATCGGTACTGTTGCATTGGGGTATCGATACCTATGCGGGGTATCGGTACCATCCGAGCATTCTGTTATTTCTCGAAACCAAAATGTTCATAGGGGTATCGGTACCCTCTGGGGGGTATCGATACCATACTAAATAGATTTTATTTTTGGCTCGAATA